GCATCATTTGACAAAGCCTTGGCGCATGATGCGCCAAATATGACTTTTTGCGGATTAAGGCGGTTCGAGACGAATTTTGCATGAATTTTCAAAGGGATGCTTGTTCTAAACACCTTTTAGAGTAATTCAATGCATCTAGACATTTTGGAAGGTTCTTTTATGAAGGGATATGTCTCTTGGATCAAATGACACATTTTTTGAATTCAAAAAAGTTGATTTTTGGAGGAAAATTTGAATTCTTTTAAAAAGAGGCAACCCAAAATAAAAGAAAATGACTTCAAGTAGTTTGGTGTGTGACGTGAAAGAGGGTGGCGTGAAAGAAAAGAGGAAGAGAGAGAGAGAGAAATTCAAGGTCTTGGATAATTTCTTTTAGAGTTGTAAGAGGAGAGGGAAGGTGAGAAATTTCTTCTTCATTACACTTCTAAGAGAGAATTAAGAGTGCTTGTAAAGAGAGAAATTGGAGAGATAAAGAGAGAAAGACTTGGAGAGAACTTCTAAGGATTTTTTTGAGAAGGATTGTGAGATAAGTTGTGTCTTTTATTTCTTTTATTTTGTATCTTGTTTTTATATATGAAATCTTTATTTTGTTGTATCCTTCTCATGAATTATGAGTAGTTTTCTTTATCTTCTTTATCCTTCTCCCTATTTCTCCCTATTTTGAAATATAGTTTTGTGAAGAAGTAATTTTGTTTTCTACGATTTTAAATGTTAATAATTTGTGATAATTTGAACTCCGATCTTCATTTAATTTTTTATCTCGCTAATTGAAATCTTAAAATGTGTTGAAAAACATATGTTCCGAAAGGGCTATGATTTCTACAACATTGGTAAAATCACATTTAATTTCATGAGAGAGTATGTCATCCATGGAATTAAGTGCAAACAACTAGGGAAATATACTTTGTTGGATGCAGAATTAGAGATTTTAAGGTTACAGATTAAAATCTCTAATTTGGTCCAGTTGATTGGAAACTAATGTGAGATTGTTAGCCCTCAAGGGAGGGAATAGTGGGAGCTCTAGAGTGGCAGGCGGGGGCCCCCCCCCCCCCACACAAA